CGATCTACCGAACAGCTCAGAGCTTCATGTCAATTGCCATTCAATGAGGCCAACGTTGACGTCCCCCCAGATCTGTCAAGCCGGTCAAGTCAGGAGAGCGTGGATGACACTGCTCGAGTCTGTCGGGGCGCGGTGGAGGATTAGGGCAAAGTCCAGTCAAGGCTTTCGGAGTGGCCATGCACCTTCAACGTGATGACAGCACCCACAGTGACACCTTGACTCAGTAGGTAAAGCCCTGGGCGGTAAAGATCTACCTGGAAGGCAGACACCCAGCAGTCCGGCGCACGGCGCAGTTTGGTGGGTAGTAAGCGAGCAGACAGTGGGGCAGATCCAGTGGGCAGATGTCCTTCCCCTCGTGTTATGTCACATACCATCACTCAGTAAGTAAATCTTCAAGGTACACTTATATATAAGTTTTGTGTGCATCTGTGACCACTTCATCAAATTCAGGTGTCCCTTGGACTTTCTTGCAATACATTTTTCACATCAAGTTTGTGTATTCAAGTCATTATTGAGGTATCGACTTCTTTTACATCAGGAAAACCAGTAAAGGTAATGACCAGTTCTATGTTATTACAAAAGCTATATCTGGTCAGTTACATGTTTTGAATAAATAAAACTTTGTATATAATGTACTGTTACTGAATCTTGACAATACACACCTGTAAAGCTGTTAAATGAGTTTAAAATTGGTATATAACCTGGCAATTCAGGTGTTATAACCCCTGATATCTGTAGTAAAGGGGTGATGACACTGTTATACCTCAATAATAACCCAGTGTTACCCATAATTGGCGTTATAACCTGGCTATAACCCAGTTATAACTGCTATTATAACTGTGTTTGTAACTATCTGTAACTGTGGAAAGGTGTTACAACCCAACATGTTTGTGATCGCAAAGTATGAAAACAGTTCCAGAATACTCAAAAAATTCTTTGGCTAAGTCAAAAAAATAGGGGTATAAATAAAACAAGTCATATCAAAATTTTAATGGTGCAATGCACTAAATGAAAACACATTTGTAGTACTGAAAATAGAATGACAGTAGTGACTGTAGAGTGTCCAGTACTTTTTATTTTATATTTTGCTGAAAACCCAACAGCAACTTGAAACCTGCTATTACCCTGATTTACCATTGAGAGACTTTTTTCAATCACAGTTGACTGCACGGTGGGCTGGAACTACCACGCGTCAGATATGGGTCTGGAATCTCCCTCGAAGAAATATCAACATCAGCTTCACGGGGGGATGCCTTTGGAAAACCAATTGTACTAGTGCCGCAATTGATATTCGCTTTGTTCGGTTTTCCACTAACCTTACCACTTGGCTTTGAATCAAACAAAGTTCAAAAAGAAGACAATAAACATTGACTATCCGTAACAAAAGCTTGAAAGTCGAAAAAGCATAAACGAGAGGATGTAAGATAGGAGTCCCTCAGAATGATCAAAAATTCGGATGTGATGAGGGGTCGAGGGTCGAGTGGAAATACACTAGAGGATGACATGTGGATGGTCCGGTACAAAGGAGAAGATGAACAAACTTGGGAAAGATCAAGATGTGGCGCGGATGTGGCGTTTGCGAAAAAGCCGGGCCCCACATTGAAACCGAAGCTAGCCTTCTTCAGAAGTCAGCCTTCCCGCGCATCATCAGTTGAAGGTATAACCCACTGAGCCGAAACGTTAGATTTATGTGAAGCGAAAGTAAGGGAATGAGTGCTGGAGGTTTGCTCAATTGGCTGTGCATTCACGTCCCCGATCACAAACTCGTGATTGGGTGTATCAGAAGTGGAAGGCTCGCCTTCCCGCTCTTGATATCTAGAGGCAAAAGGGTCAATGCGACGAATGGGACTACGTCGTTCTCTTTTCCAGGCTCAAAACCAAACTGGAACTTTGAAATGAGCTCCAGAAGAACAACTTGCATCTCTAAAATACTGTTTGAAGCGGCTCCGTCAGATCACGGACATCAGAATTTAACTAAACTGCAGTGTACTTACGCAAGCCGCCAGCTTGGATCATACACAATTAGTGAGCACAGAAGTGTTTATGAGAAAGGCCACCTTACCCGAGGCACGAACGAGCTGCGCCAGAGAATGTTGCTCTTGGACCGGCGTCATCAACCGACCATTGGATAGGAATACTGAGTGGTGCTTACAGGCTGGAATAAGGCCCTATGGACCCCGGCAAACTTTCCGAATCACAACGACCGTCCAGCCAGCGTAATGGATCGAACGAGTGGGCGTCCGACCCCCAAACGTGGGGATTGCTTGTGGACCATATAGGTCAACTCCGAGGCTTCCAAGAACAGAAAACGAATGAACGCACCAGTTATAGGAAGCTATACCGGTATAGATGATTTGACCTTTCCGAATTGGCAATTCGGTAATGACTCGGCCAGAGGTCGTAGTTATTGGCTGCGAAAGCGGAAGAACAGTGTCTTCAAAAGCCATTCTCTCGGAATGGGGTACGCTTGGATGAAACCTTAGTGTTTCCTTTTTTTATGGATGAATAAGGACGATATTAAATTTAAAACAGAGAAATACAAAAGCAAAAAATACAACCAACCTTGATGTGTGCATTGAGGTACTCAAGCTTGTCCAGATTCGAATCCCCATCCTTCGCCTCATTTATCTCCTTCCGAATCTGATCTTGCCATGTCGGTCGCTTTGCAACCTCATACAATGCCCACGCGATGGCATTCGCCTGTTTCGAGTTATCTCAGAATTCATAATTCTTAATACAATCGAGCCTCACCTACAGTTGTCTCTTGTCCAGCAACTAAAATCACTGGGGTCTGTCGGCTTATTTCGTGAAAGGACAAGCGTTCCCGTTTCAGGGTCTTATTCGTACGCGCTACAGACAATTGGTCAGAAACTCTGTCCAGAACGAGATACAGACGTACCAACATAGCCAACGAGCCCAGTATCTGTGTCATCTCCGTCCTTTAGACTGTTTCTTAGAAGCGCTGTAGCCCACGCTTCGCTGATTGTGCGAAAGTGAAGGAGCGTGCTAAACGCCCTTGTCGGAAGGTAGAGCATGAGCCTCAATATAATGTGCGGAATATGAGGTACCACACTGTCCCCTAAGATTGAACTTTTAGAACGATTCCCGCTTAAATGACTAACCCGATGGATGTCTCAGTAAAAGTTCCTCCAAACATCTGAGCGCCCGGACGCACGTTATGCCCTGGTGGCTTTTAGCAACTTCGTCTCCTCCGTCAGTCTCCACTGCACGGAACTTATGGCCGAATCCCACTTCAGAAGCATTTTTTTAGCACCTAGCATTGATTATACTTGGATAAAGCGCTTACCCTCGCCAATAATGTCCGAAGTGACATGTTGAATGAGTTGGAAGACGTCAATGGTAGTATGCATATCGAGCTGCTTCCTCTTCTCCATGCACTGTTGCATCAGTTTATCCGTGGCCTCAAAAGTCCAATTTTAGTACTCGCAGCATTCGGGAAGACGAGAAATACCTTGCAAGCGATATTCTTTATCACAGGGACATAAGGCTGCAGGCTTGCAGCCGTAAACGCCGGAGAAAAAGCATTCTTGATACGGCGATGCGCTTCCCCTGATAGTAATTCACATCCACATCCGTATATCAGAATGAATCGAAGCAGACACCGAATTTATGTATTTTCGTACCACCATTCCGCAGTGCAGAGAGACTGCCTTTCCCGAAGAGCATGAGCGCAAGAAAAGCCGTAACAGGAGGATGATCGAATAGCTTGCTGTAGTTCAAGATGTACCTGAGAGTAACCGGGTCGGAGGTAAAAAGGAGATCTGTCTGCCTCAGGTACTGAGTCGAGTAGCGAGGGTAAAACGGGAAATTGTAGTATGAACACGTACAGAAAAGCATCCCTTGAAGCGATACGTAGATCCGTACGTTTCTTGCCACTGGCGTTCAAACTTTCCGTAAGGCTGAGATAAGAGAAGCTCGAGAAGATTTCCTAGACATTGAAAATTCATAAATCACAAAGAACCGCGGCGGATATCAATGAGGACTTACCGTATAACCATGACGCGATATTAATTGGACCTGGAATGTCTCGAACGTGCACGTCCCGACGAATAACACGGAGAACGGTTACTGTTCCTACCACGCAGATGGTGACAGTTGTCCAAGGGACCATCCACGAGTGGGAGAGATTGAGGGTGTCCAATGGTAGCATGATTACTAGGATAGTCGCCTTCAAACTAATCGATGGGTGAAGTGGAAAAAGAAATGGGTCACTGAGTTGTACCTATAAGCGAGGGTGTTTGACACTGAAGAAGGGTAAATTTTACAGGTGAGTAGAACCATTGAATATCGATTGACAAGTTTGATGTGGTTCCGTGAGTCGAACTGAATGGATATCTGTCAGAACGGGGCGCCGACAAGACACTTTTCCTAGCCTGGTTTTGGGGTTGCATAGCCATGACTAGTCTGTAGATCCAGTCAAGGAATGTACGAACGACAGATTCTCCAGTTTTTGGCGGGAGGAGGAGAGGCATGGATTACCCAGATGAGCGCGCGATGGTGACAGTCGAAGTCCAACTCAGTGCATTGTGACTTTATCGTCACGATATCACCCACAAGTGACGTGGGCCTGTCACATCGGACCACTTCAAGTCCTTATTCTAGTTCAACTTTTACCACCAGGAATACGAAAGGGACTTGGAAAAGGAATGACAATGGTCGGCTTCAGCTGGGCAGTTGAGGTGATGGTAGTGGATGGACGAAGGTACTAGCCTCCCGTCGGCGCGTATCCGTTGTGACTTTTCAACATTCCACTGGTCTAATTGAACCACTGTCAGACAGATTCGCAAGCTGAGGACTATACAAGCAAATTTGTCCTGCCCAAGCAGCGGAGTTGATCTGGATATGTCACGACGCCATATGATGAGCCTGGTATAACTTGAGCTTTAGCCTAAAAAGATCTACTTAGTACAACTGGTGCAACTCCCGATGCGACTTTTGGGCACGGATTATAGTTGGTTGTCAATGTTTCTTGCTTTATTGCCCGCCTAGCTCAATCGGATAGAGCGTCAGACTCTTATAATGGCATAAACATCTGAAGGCTGCGAGTTCGACCCTCGCGGTGGGCTATTAGCGGTGATCTCCATCAATTTTCTTTTGAACCGAAAAACCCTTCATTCATACTCGCACTACGGAAATTCCCCACTGGGTAATGTCAGTGGAAATAATCTCCCAAAACTCTTCACAGTCACTTCTTCTGCAGGATCCCCTGGAATTAAGATTACAGGCATTTCAGGAGAACAGAATTCTGCCATGACTTGACGACATAACCCACAAGGGGTAATATAACTCTTCGCATTTCTATCAATGACATCAAGGGTTCAGTACGTTATCCACACAAACAAAGCGATGACTACGTACGACACTACGGATAGGCCTTTGAAGTTGCGGTAGCCCTCGCTCTAGAGAAAGATAGCCCGACCATTGACCCATTCGTAAAAAGTTGAAATTCGAACCAGCAACGTAAGTAGCATTTTATTTGAAAACTTACGACAGCTTTAACGATCGCTACCCTTTCCGCACATATCGTTTCGGCTGTTCAAAGCAAGAATCAGACTCATTCAGCCTACATACAGTGCCGGAACGCCTGCGGAAACTTACCCCAACAAGCGTTATCGATACTTCCGCCTGTAAATATCCTTTCCTCCTCAAGGTTTTCAGTACCGGCATTTTCACTCGTGTCCCATTTCACCGTGCTTGGCGCGCAAAGGACAGCAGCCCCGACAGGAAAGTGTGAGTATGGACTATAAGCCTGTTCTTTGCCTATCCGATATTTCCAAGTTTTTCGCGGTTTGGGCGGATAACGTTCAATGGATGGACCGGAAATGGAGTGCAGTACATAAGCTGCAAAACGAGATAGCTGTCGCTCGATGCCCACCGAAAAATGCGCCCTCGATTAACTTCCGTTGGTCTGTGGGTCTGAGTTGATACGACACTGACATCATTCATGGAAGTTGAAGATATTTGATTATGCATGTTCGTTCTGTACACTTGCTATAAACGTCAGTGAATGACCGCCACGAGAGATCGGCCATTTTAGCATCCCAAGTTTTTCTCATCACCCCAGGTCCTTTTCAGTTTATGGCAGCTTTGATGCCATAATATCTGTCCCCTGCAACGCTCACAGGAGTTTCTTTCTAGCCGTGACTCGCTGGATTTTTACGTAGAGAAACCCGACCGGTCTTCTCTGTTCTTCTACTATGTTTCTGGTCACCGTTTCTAGGTGCTGCCGGGTTATTCCTTCTCTATTGGGTTTAGGGGTGACGGAAATGGGGCGCCTCAAGGCCCGAGGTAGAGCTTAATTGGCACCCTCGATTACTAGCTGTTAGGGACGAGTAACCATTTTAATACTGATTGTTCTGCTCAACAGACTATGGTTTAAACCTTGTTCGAGGGCGTCACCTACACGTCATCGAGTAACATGACCCTTTCACAAAAGCCACGATCAACTAGCCCTTGCCTCCAGATAATCCCAAGCGTGTTTGTAGTGTATCCGCGGTCCTAAACGTCATTTCATATAATTTGTACTTATCTGCGAAGACCGTTCTCGGTGGCAGTTGAATTGGCCACACCGCAGGCCTCCCCGAGTACGCGGTAATCTCACAAGTTGGAAATTCCTACCACGATTGTGTCTGACGTAGCTTTGCTACCGTTCAAGGTTTGGGCTGAGCGGCCGAGGGACTAGCATGGATCACATTTGTCGTGTTCTTGAACTAACTTGAACGAGGAATAACATATGCTTTGTATCATATGATCCTCTGCCGGTACTCAATTATTCAGGGATCAGGGATCAGCCGAACGTCTGAGGGATCTCCCCGGACCTTAAAGGCTATCCACCGAGTTCACGGTGTCTAACGTTGCTGCCGAGCTCTCAAAATTTTCAAGGTCGAGTGAATGTACACCGGCCTTCTTGGAACGTCTTCAGGGGGGGGTTGGTATAAGCGACTCACGATGAAGCTTGCGAACGCGATACTCAAGTATTTCTGAGATACCTGCTTCTTGTTCGGCACCAGCCTTACCTTCAGAACGGTGATGGCCATCCCGAAGGGTCAACGATCGCCGGATCAAGAGAAGAAAAGTCCGAATCGGCAATCCCGGGCCGGTGGGCCGAGCTCCCTTAATGAACAGGCAGTACTCGAGTTGTTTCAGGAACTAGGAAACCGACCTACTGTTGCAGCCCTTTACAGCCCTCTACGATGACTATTCTCGGGACTGAAGAATTAAAAGCCCCTAGCAATCCACAAACGACAGGTGCTGGTGAAGCTTCAGTTGAGTCTCAAAATCAGCTGAAGCACGGTAGGTTGAAATAGTATACATCGGCATTTCTATTCACAGCGGATTAAAGTTGCAGCGATTTATATGTATGTTGGGGACCTGAGTTTACATTCTCTGCTGTATTTATTGCTTTGCCAACGAGTCGCCTTTTCATTCAATCACCTTCCCGGCAAGTTCCCGAGTTTTTGATATTCAAGGGCTCCCGTAGAGCGTATCAAGTGCAAATGGCTTAGTGTGTTGATCAGGAGAATCTAGTTTCTGAGACTGATAAAATGTGAATCCGGGAAACCGGTCTCTCTGTCAATTTCTCGACAACAATCAGGGATACGGAATGGTCTAGCTCAGTGTCAAGTCGTCGAGGTTTCGACCCGTTGACAAGTAGAAGTTTTTTTTTTTTACACAGCCCATGTAAATCTGGAGTGCTTCCAGTCGAGTCCGTCCCGTTTCTGAGTTCTCCGGGCTACGCATGCAGTACTCTGATCCACCACCGACGCCTGCGGGATGCCGGTTATCAGATGAATGGGGGGGGTTCTCATTCTGCACTCAAAATTGACTCAAACCAAAGGCAAGTCGCACGATTGTCAAAGTTTTGTTTCCATCGACAACCGAGACTCTGTCTACTTGGCACTGTGCAGGTTGGACAGACGTCTGTCGAGCTCTTCAAAGAGTGAGATAAATCGAGCTGCAAACTGGCTGTGGACTACGAATACCCCTTGACCGAGTAAGCTGATGTCGGAAGACCGAATACAGTTAAATTTGCTGTCTTCTGAATCACTTCGATTCGGGATCATTGACAGTGTCCCGGCGTCTGAGTTTCTTGATACTCCGTTCAATTTTTAGGGATTGGCGGTGGATCCAAGTCTGTATTACGGGAGAGGGGTTGAACGTTGCGAAACGTGGACGCACAATAGTCGCGTTCCTTGGTTCGAGCACATCAAAATTGAAGGAGTGACAACCAAGTCGATCTTCGAACTATTCGTGGTTTCTACCCTTGTCCCACTTATTTACCTACCGGGGAATCACCGATTCGTTCAGAATGTTAGTCTCTAAATAACCATGGGTTTAGTCAGGTATGATGAAGGGTGTCATGAAAAGTCGAAAAATCGTGCCATTTCTTAAAATTCTTCTGTTTTTTTTTAAAGACTTTCGATGCCGTTCTTCGATTTTTCTGATTTTGCCTTCCGGACAATCACTACATAGGTTAGTACTTACGGGGCAGAATGCGGCGTAGAAATCCGACGCTCAGGAATGATGATCATTCTTTGTTCTTTTTGTTTTTCAACGACCCAGCATTCATCTGGCCATTAGATGACAGATGGTGCCGATTCTTTCCTGCCAGTCAGTACTACATCACAGCTATCAAGACCGAAAAGAGCTGTAGTTGTTTCTCAAGTTCGGACGGAATGGGATCATGATTGATATTGATGGTGTTGATCTTCTGTGTCTACCGTTTCGCCATGATTGGCATGTTCTGGGGTGACTGTCCTGATTTTTTGATGGGGCTTGTTGATCATTGGGCTACTTCCAAAACCTCCGAGGATCTGTGACTTGGGGAGGTTGGGCGGGAGAATGGTCCTGGCCGTCAAAACTCACGTCATGGTCATTGACATCTGTGGGGAAACTGACGCTTGCCACAGTTGGGGACGGAAACGTGGGCGAGGAAGAAGGGCAATCCGGACCGAATGCTTCTGTCCTCTAGAAAGTCCGCCTAGTTGAACTTCGCCGCTCTTCCATTGTTCTCATCCTTTGCATGGCATCCGAAGAGGTGTTTGCATACAGCAAATTTCCGACCCAAACTTGGTGTAATTTCTGCGGTTTTTAGCACTCAGGATTGATGTGGTAACTGGTATACTTAGGTACAGACTCTACACTTAGAACTGCTTTGCCCTGTAATTTGCTACAAAGGTCGCCCTAGAGAAGACCTAAGTATTGAATTCAAAGAAAGTTTAGATCTCACCCAACCTCATCCCTGACAGTGCGACTCGCTCGCCCTAAAGCCCCGAGCACACGTAATATTTTACACGTCCGTGGAAGCAGTTTGTCAGTCCCGTTTACAACTCGGGAATGACGATCAGGAGGAGTTCCGTTAAGCTTAACCTATCGTTATCACACCGTGCATGTGCACTTGGACTAAGGACCCGCGAAGCTCAAGTGGAAGAATATTCAGACTCGAGGCGGTAGCGGGGTTCGGGAGAGGTTACATACAGGCTCTTTATTCTCCGCGCTCCTTGTGCCGTAAAACCGAGTAAAATTCAATTCAAATGGCGATGCCGGTGTAGGTTCCTCCGGTTTCCTTTTTTGAACATAATTTGATCGACACGTGCGGGACGATCTTCCGTCACCATGTTATCTACGCGAGTCAGTATATCTTCAACCGGATTTCGCACCTTCCGCACAATCTCATTTCCAGCTCTTTATCATCTCGACTCGTCATCTCAACTTCGCTCAACATCTTCGAATTCACCTTAATCTTCAGCCGCTCTGACACTGGCCGTTCAAGGTCGGGACTAAGGATTCAGCTTCACCGGTCCTTCTGCGTAGCGGAGGATCTTTTTCAGTAAGAGCGCAACTTCTATCTCGACGCTTTTGTAGTTTGATTTTTCCTCACCACAACATATTAACGGCTGTAAACCTTTTGACAAGTTGAATTGCGATCAGACCAATATCATGCTCGACCATATCGAACGCTGTGAAGTCGAGTCCTGACTCAATTTCCATCTCAGTGAGCCTCTTTGACACACCCGATTCCCGACGGAACACCCTCCCGCGCTTTTTCATCTTTTAGAGTTTCTGT